ATTGATAGGGACTGCAGAGAATCTACTGATCAATTTGGGAGTACAGCCATCTTAGTAATATTTTCTATTCCATGAACATAGTATATCTTCCCATTTATTTAGATCTTTCATGTCATTGTCAATAATATTTGTCATTTTTAGTGTATACGTCTTGTATTAGTTTCATTAAGTTTATTCTAAAGTATTTTATTCTTTTTGATGTTATTGCAACTGAAATTGTTCTCCTAAGTTCCTTTTCAGATCATTCATTGATAGCATACAAAAATACTACTGAGATACAAAAACTCCAATCCCACATCCTGCAGCCTTGCTCAACCTTGTTTATTAGTTTAGTAGTTTTTTATGTGAGTGGATTTCTCATATCTTTCTATATATAATCATGGCATTAGTAAACAGAGATAGTTTTACTTCTTTTCCAAGATGGATGCTTTTTATTTATTTTTCTTTTCTAATTGTCCCAGTAATAAACTATAGTACAATACTACACAGTACAGTGTTGAATAGAAAGGATCAGAAAAGACATCCTTTTCTCATTTCTGATTTTAAGAGAACACATTCATTCTTTCACCATTATGTTATTAGCTGTGGATTTTTCATAGGTGTCCTTTACAAAGACAAAAATATTCCTGCCTATTCCTATTGTGTAGTTTCTGTTTTTCAGTTATAAAAGAGCATTGGATTTTTGTCAAACGTTTTTTCTGTACATCTAGAGATGGTTGTGTTTTTTTGTTCTTTGTTTTATTTTTTCTTCCTTTATTTTTATTAATATGACATAGTACACTGATTGATTTTTTTCTACATTAAACCAACCTTGCACTCCTGGGACAAATTCCACTTGGTCATGAAATATAATCCTTTTCATATGTTTCTGAATTCCATTTGCTAGTATTTTGTTGAAGATCTCTGTGTCTATATCCATAAGGAGATTGGCCTATGGGATTTTAAAAAATTTAATTAAAAAAATTTTTTTTTGCAATGTCTTTGCCTGGTTTTGGTATGAGGGCAACAATAGTGTCTTAGAGTAACATGGAAAGGTCCCCTCTTATTATATTTACCACATTCATTCGTCCTTGAAAGTTTCTGCTTATGTCATTATCTGGCAGGTTCATGCTCTTCTCAGCTCCTCCAAGTCCTGCACATTATCTGGAGCCAGCTCATGACCTCCTTATTCCTGAACCTGTCCTGACTCTTTCAGTCCTAGAGTGAGCTCACCCACTCTAGAGCACCTTCATTTCTCCCTGTGCTTACAGTTGGTACTCAGTATAAAGCGCTGAAGTTGTGCATTGTATAATAGGTAATTGGTGTTCAGAAGAAACTGGAAGCAGAACAAGTGGACTCTTAGTAAACAGAACCTCAGTCAGGCGCAGGAGGCAGTCGGACACCTAAGTCTAGTGACCCAGGACTGGTAGGACAACTCAGGGCCATGTGACTAGCTCCCTAGTAAGGTTGCAGCCTCCATGAGAGGCGGTGCAGCCAACACTTAAGAATGCACTCTTTATGTTTGAATAGTTTGGGGACTTACTGGCTGTATGACCTTGGGCAAGTCACTCTAGCCTTACTTTTCTCATTAGTATTCCAGGGAATAATAATGTCAATCTTAGAGGATAGTAAATATTCCATGAGTTCACCTATGCAAAACATATCACATTAAGCTCAATTAGTGGTAGATTTAATACATGCCATTGGATATTTCTATGAAAAAAAAAAAGGATCTGGAGTCAAAGAAAGGACTCTTGGAAATGTTCTGTACCACATCCCTCGTCTTAGGATTCACAGAGCACATGAACACAGCAGAAGCCCTATAAGTTCCATGTAAAGAATTACCAGCATTACCCAAACCAATTTATCAAAACGATCCTTTTCTCCCCTCTTTTACATATAACATCTATTTCACATACTTCTGGAAGCATAGTATTAATTGTATTTAACTAACAAAGAAAGTCACATTAAATTGTTAAAAACTGGTGGTGTTTCATTGCTTTGCTTTTCCCAAGGCATGTATAATTTAAAAGCAGCAGCCTAGGAGACACAATGGCTTCTCACCTAGAGGAAGAACAGAATGCTTTAAAAGCCCAAAGGAAATGGAAAACCTCAGGCAGAAGGAGCAGATCAATGAGGAGCTATTCTTGGTCACAGAAACATTTCTGAAATTACAGATTCTTAGAGTTCAATAACATGTTGAAGTTCAGCCACTTTAAATTCTGACTCAGTGAAGAAATCTCACTCTCATGGACCCCATCCCCTGTGGACATATCACAAACTTCCTATTTTTAGGTGGCTTTACTAATTATGAAATTCTCCCTCACACTGCACTGCAATCTGCCTCCTTGAACCTCTACCCAAGATCATGTTGATAGAATTTCTGTTGTTGCTGTTGTTTGTACCAGGGATTGAACCTAGGGGTGCTTAATCACTGAGCCACATCCCCAGCCATTTTTTATTTTGAGAGAGTGTCTTGCTAAGTTGCTGAGCCTGGCTTTGGACTTGTGATCCTCCAGCCCCAGAGTCACTGAGATTATAGACATGAAACAATGCATCGAATGAATTTTGAGTTTTGAGTTTCAATGAGAGTTTTCCCTAAGTAAAATGTTACGTTTAAAAATCATTGCAACATAATTGAGCAGTGAACTGAAAATAATAATTATTGGAAACAATATTTTTCATTTTCTCCATCTAAAAGGTGGGCAGACAGAAGTTCAGTTATGCTGTAGGCAATACATGCAATTTTTACTTTGTGGACAGGATTGTTTTGTAATTGTCAATTTCCTGGAAGAAGGGGAAATACATATTTTTAGATTATTTCTATATTTCAATTTTGGGGGGGGGGTACTGGGGTTTGACCCCAGGGGTATTGGACCACTGACTCAGTGAATTTAAATTCTGACTCAGTGAAGAAATCTCACTCTCATGGGCCACATCTCCAGCCCTATTTTATATTTTATTTAGAGACACAGTTTCACTGAGTTGCTTAGCACCTCACTTTGGTTGAAGCTGACTTTGAACTCATGATCCTCCTGTCTCAGTCTCACAAGCCACTGTTTATAATTCCATTTTAATTTTTAAAGTATTTAGATATTTTTAAAAATGTATACTCCAAAGTGCTAGCTCCCTTATTTATTAAATGAGCTTTTAATATAAATACATACTTAATTGGAATATAGCACATGTTTCATAAGTGGAAGTTTATAAACAAGAGTCAATAATGGGAATGGGTGAAATTATCCATATTTTATAGAAATGTAGCTGCTTGATCTAATATGAGCTTTTGCAAGCTTTTGAAAACCTTAAAAACTTAAGGAAACCTCAAGAGGGAAATAGAATGTAGACTTAAGTGAGAAGAGAACTTCTGAGCTCTCCATCTCCTCTGAGTCCAAAACAATTCAAGACGACTTCAGGGACATGGCAGAACCATTACCTACTATAAAAAAGACAAGTTGGTTTTATAGGATCATTTTTCCAAAGGCGAACTTTCCACACGACCTCATTTTTGCATAAAATGACTTCTTGAGCATGCTTTAGTAGTACCTGTATCTCATTCTGACACAGAGGCAAAGATTCACGTTCCTGTTTTACAACTGAAGAAACTGAAGTAAAATCAAAATGGATTCGTACTGGGCGATATTCACGGGCATTCCAACAGTGGGGTCCCTCAGGGCTGGCTGAGTGTTCCTTTCAGTTAAGTCCTCTCCTTCCTGAAGGGTGAAGGCAATGAAAAACAAACACAGGCCTGTCGACAGTCAGTGGTGGTTGAACTAACGGATGCTGCTGGGAACACCATAGGGCTTAAGGCACACTGCCTGCCTGAGGGTTTTGTAATTTGCGCACAACAGTAAGTAGTGTCCATTAGAATTTACTGACACACACCACTGAAAGAGAAGTTGTCTTTCTCCTTGCAACACAGTAAGAATATCACATTTCCTACATCCCTTCCTTCAGCCTGCATTAGGTACCAGGGCGAGACATTCATAGGAACTTTAAAAAAAAAAATTTATAGGACACCGAGTTAAACCCGGTCCCTGACTTCATAAGAATAACAGTCAAACGAGAGACAGACAAGCAAATCAGTCATTTCCATAGGAAGTTCTTTGCTGGAGCCAGGCTCATGACATTGGAGAGCATGGGTGAGGGCAAATCAGTCAGACTAGGTACTTGCAAAGGCTTCTTCAAGGAGCCTATTTCTTTCTTTTTAAAACTCAAAGTGAACTTTTGTTTCTTTTTAAATTTTTTTTTAAGTGTAGATGGACAAATCTCTTTATTTTATTCAGTTATTTTATGTGGTGCTGAGGTTCGAACCCAGTGCCTCATGCATGTGAGGCAAGTGCTCTACCAATGAGCTATGACCCCAACCCTCAAGGAGCCCATTTCTAAACTGTCAGTGCAGCCAGCTGACTCTGACTTCAGTGCCCAGCACTCAGGTGATAAGTTCCCCCTGACCCTGCTTTTCTGAATTTTTGACACAGACATCGTGAGATTTGGTGCCTGTGTTCTAAGAGGGAGGAAGGCAGGAGGGAGGGAAAGAAGGAGGAAGACAAAAAGAAGTTACAAGCTTCACCAAAACACATCCCAGAAGCTGCTAGAGATGGCCAGGGGTGCAAAGGGTGCTCGCCCTGTGCCTGAGCAATCTGTGGCCTCAACTCAAATGTGAGGTCTAGTCTGTGGTCATTTTCTCTTTGGCAAGTAATGGGACGTGGGAACCTGGTCTTCGATCCTGAGGACCTTGCTGGGCGGGGCCGTGTACTGCCATCTACCAACAGGGCAGGCAGACACCAACGCCCGGTCCCTGTGCACTCCAGGAAAGTGAGGCCAGACTCGTCTGCTAAGTCTCCAAGGTGACTTCTCCACACAGAACGCACAAGTGCTGCCAGCATGCCCCAGGTGGGACACACTTGTGAGGCTGTTCCTGCCTGGTGAATCCCCAAATGGCACCTGCCTCCTTAGGGATCCCATTCCCCAACCTAGGAGTACACCAGAGAAATGAAAAAGAAAGTGCAAGTTATTACCTTAGATTGTCCTCCAGGGTCTCCTCATCTGAAGAGAAGGTCTCATTGCTAACACTCTGGGAAGAGGAACTCTTCTTCCCCACCGACTCCTCCCGGGACAATGAAGTGTCTTTCTTTTTCCTTTTGCCAAACAACTTCTTAAAAGGCTGGAATCTGCCTCCCTTCTTCTTGTCTGTGGATTACAAGATAAACACAGTTTGATAGGGCCGTGCCTCTGAGCCTAGGAGCAAATGACAACCGACTTGCCTCTGGCCCACGGAGCCAGGGCAAAGGGCAGCCAGAGACCAAGCCCAGTGCCAGGAACAGAGGAGCCAGCCCAGCGCAGTCTGTGCTCAGTAAGGCAGAGCACAAGCTGAGGGCATGGTAAGACTGTGTCCCCAGGAGCCCAAGAAACATCTGGGGTGAATGAGAAGAGGTTCCAAGCTTCATTGTGGCTGCTATTGTACCCCTTCACGCAGGCTACAGGAAGGTGGTGTCTGCTTTCTTTAACAAAGCAGATGGACAGGGGCTGGGGTTGTGGCTCAGTGGTGGAGCACTTGCCTAGCATGTGTGAGGCACTGTGTTCGATCCTCAGCACCACATAAAAATAAATAAATAAAATAAAGGTACTGTTTCAATCTGCCAAAAAAAAAAAAAATAGCCAATGTCCTTTTCCAAAGAAGAGGCTGAGAAAAACATGTAAGTCATGCAAGTCACGCAGGTGTTTAAGTTTACACACACACACATCTTTGATCATATGCTTCTGTATTAGATATAGAAGATAACTGCTAACTCTTGGTACAAGGTTTGCCCTCAATACCCCACATCGCCATATATCTCCATTTTTTTCTTTTATCTCTTTTTAAAATCTACTATGAAGAGCCCCCAAGGAATTGCTGTGAACACTTCCCCACACATTACTGCATCTAGTCAGGACCTAAGCTTGCTGCCAACATTTGCGGCAGATATTTTAGGTAATCCCTTGTAGTTCTGCTCTTTCATACAAATTCCTTCACGTTACTCCACTTCTACCTTGGGAAAGAAAATGTAAATCACTGTCTACCAGAAATCACATTTTTTCTCATCTTTCCTTTAAGAAGCTTAAAAAGCCACTTAGCCAGTGATCTGATAACCATTTTTAATGGTTTTTAAACTTGTTTACTTGTATATTACTGCAGTAAGAACTTTACAGATAGTAACTGAGTTCATCTTCACGACTATAAGTAGACTTTAATTTTACAGATGAGGAATCTGAGACATGGAGAGGTGGAATAACTTGCCTATATGTGGGAAATACATCTCTAAAGCCAGAGTCAGGAGTTCTGAAAGAGAGGGAAAGGTGGAAGCTCACAAAGTAGACTGAAAAATACCTGCTCAGAGCACCCAGATCCATCTCCAGAGCCCTGGAGCTTTGCTGGCCACAACCTACAAAGGGATCTGGGGTTAACAATGAGGTCAAGGATGTAACCAGCTAGGTCTCCTTTTGTCTGGTGACCTTCAGTGCTAGTGTTACTTCCCTGAAAATGTGAAGCGAGGAAGAAGTGGTTCCAACCAAGGTCACCATCAGTAGTTACATAAGGTGCTGAGGAAGCAGGCAGAAAGTTCACCATTACAAAGAGAAACAGCCTGGGATCTAGTACAGGTGCACACAGACCCTCAAACTTCAATGTACTCAAGTTTGCTTTAGATCACATTTAAATGGAAGTGATGTTTATAACACAGTAGATGCTTCATACACACCATTTGTATTGTGCTAGGCATTCAGTCCTCAAAAAAGGATTAAATTATTTTACTGAATGTTATTTGAAAGATAAGAAAGTGGGCAACACAATTAAGATCATATTTTAAAATGGTTAAAAAGAACTGGAGGGCAGGGGTTGTGGCTCAGTGGCAGAGTGCTTGCCTAGCACATGTGAGGCGCTGGGTTCGATCCTTAACACCACATAAAAATAGAAAAATAAAATAAAGGTATTGTGTCCATCTACAACTATAAAAAAAAAGACTGAAGGTTTGATTTCAAAATGTTTGTTCATTTTCAATGGTTATTTATGCAAGAGCAAATATGCCAGTGATTTTCATGAAGCCTACTTTGGGTTTTCATGAGTAAAATCCCTCAAATGAAACAATCTGTATGGAAATTGATGAAACAAGTGAATATCTTCTCTACAACTGTCCGAGGCTGAAAATATATAAATGACACCTGATTTCTAACTTTGACAACATCGTAGTAAACAGTCACATAGCAACTTATACTATGCTTCACTTATTTCCAACATTGTCTTTATTTTTTCCTTTTATATCAACTGTTTTTTTTCCTCACTGCAGAAATAACTAACCCCAAATTTCCTAATCATAAATATTCCAAAGGATAATAGTAAAATTCCAGAAAATACCAATTTGGGTATCCTGACCCCAACCTGGGTCTGCAGTCTAGCATTTAAGCTAAGCTACAACTATTAATAGGAAAATAATTATGAGTGCTGTAAAGTTATTTTGTTGGTGTTCAGTTGAAATGGAACCAAGGGAGTTAATTATAATTTAAAATTTAAAAAACCACAATTTTTTTGAACAGGTTACTGGCATATTTAACCAACAGGTAGACCTGGTGTGGGGGTCAGCTCAGAAGGTTGATGAGGTTCTCAGAGTCACAGCCACATGTTCTGAAAGGTGGCGGCCACCACGTGAGATATTTGCTGTGTGGGCCACGTGGTTGGGGGACAGAGTGAATAGAGCACGGAAGGAGCTGAATGTGAACACAGGGTGGGGAAAAGGCAGCCCTGGAGAGGACACCAGGATCCGAAGCCTTAGCTCTGAGACCTGGGTGGGTTTCCATAAGCACACAATGGCCTCCATCAGGTGACCCATCCACAGGGCTAGCCTGTTTGAGGACTGACTGTGAAATAGGTGCTGCCACTTGATGCTGTACCTTATATGGGCAATAACCTGGCACAAGTACATCATTCTGGAGGGCGTGTCGAAGTCCAGGTGTCATAGTGCACTTCTCAGGGGTCACCGGGGGTGCTGTTTCAGCAATGCCTCAGGTATTACCACAAAAGGAAAAGGACAGCAACACCTGTCCAAACTTCCATTCAACGACCAGCCCTCCTTACCAGGAGGGGGAAAAGGTCATGTCCTGAGGACACAATCTCTCTTTCAGAACACTCAGAACACAGACACTTTTGTTAGAGGTCTGCTCCAGAGTCTATGTTTGGAGACGACTCCATTATGAAAAAATAATTTCCCCATTCTCATTTCCAAAATTAATAATGCACTTCCTGTCAGAAATATCATTAAATCTTAAGATTTATTTCATTAATGACCATGGCAACTCACTGATTTTCTAGGATTAACTTTATGAAAAGATTCAGTTATAACATGTAAGCACACCCTACGTGGAGACAGCCAAACTTAAGTGACATTAGGAGGGAATACACTTTATAAAGCAGAGGAGTTATACTGTGATTTATCTGATACCCCAACTTATACTTTCAGGTTCAAGATCTCTCATCAAAAAAAAAAAAAAAAAACAACTTACGAAACACACAATGACCATTACGAAAATTTGAGTGTGTGTCTATTAATATCCATTAAATAGACTGGTTTATTATCAACATATGGTTTGGGAGCAGTGTTTGCAGCCTGTCTCCACAGAATCAGCTACACTAAGTGCACGGTTGCCAGTAGCAGACATGTTCTTGACAAATTACCGATCCTGCGAATGCTTCAGTGGTTCACAGATGGAACCTGAAAGATCAAAGCAATTTTAGCAATATAGGAAAACAGCACCCTTCCGCACTGCTATTGTGAAATATCCCCAAACCCAACAGCCAGGAAGTACAGTCTAGCAAAGTGTTTTCCAACATAGAGTATTTAAGGTGGCATTTTGGAATTTTATGACATTAAAGTCACTTTTGTTGGGCAGTTGAAGCAATGGGGAGAAGGGGAAGGAAAACTGCTAGTACCACCGAATTGGCTTTTTTAAAGGTTACAGCTCCAATTAGGGGTTAAGTGTTTGGGCTCGAGATGAGAGCTTGGCCCAGATCCTGATCCCATCTTTATTAGCTATGGAACATCTGCTCACCAGCCTCTCTAAAAATTTACTCTCTTGGGCTGTATGAACATATTTATAGGCAAAAAAGGCAGTGGGCACCACATTTTCTTAATATTTCAGCATTTTTCTGTAATAATCTTCCACATGAAAGAATCTATATATGCATATATACTGCTTTAGGGATCACAGCAATTTTTATTTTTTAAGTATGGGATTAATTTATTTTCATCATCCAATAATTACTTTTAGGGATTTTTTTTCACATAAAGAAGTGTTCATTATCCATTATTTCATGGATATAATCACATACTATCTGATGGCTGCATCATCATAATTACTAGTTTATTTAGACGATCCTAAAAATTAAAAATCACTGGGCAAGTCAAGCAAATCTGGTTCATTTTCCATTTGTCATAAGGATGCAATTCTTACATTTTCATTTCTAAACCTAAAATAATAACAGCTTCCAATTCCTCTGCATCAAAGTTCTATTGTATGTTTCTAAATGAAAACCAGAAATCTCCTATGATAGTTCATTTTAAAGCTTCATGAATGTCTTGGTCTCTGGGATTTCTCAGAAGTCAGTATAGTTTCTTAAGGCCAGTACATTTGAGAATCCAGGGAAAATTTTAAAAAACAAAACAAAGCAAAAACACCAAACAAATTTATTGACTATGGGACCTTTCAGAATCCTTAATATGCTGCTATCACTACTGGTCTCTAAAGAGCAAAGAATACACAGTGCTTCCTAGACTGTTTTTGAAATTCACTCTTGGAAATTGAAAGTCTCATTTGGCCAAGGAAACTTGACTTTCTTGACATTCATCATGACTGGGGTTCCTCTAAACACACTTTGGGAAATGGTCTGCATTATTTCTTTCAAACATCTTTTAGTTTCTGTAGGCACCATATATTTTGCAGGTATGTGCGCGCACGCATACACACAAACACACACAAGTACTCCACCTCTAAACCCTGGTGCACATCAGTCAGGAAACATGAGTGGATTGCCTGAAACATTTTGAGCTTCACTGGTTAAATAAACCTAATGTTTTAGGTAACTACTGATTTCAGCCATGCATACATTAGGACATGGTACACAGCAATTGTTTGAGTCCTGTAATTTTAGTCCTTAAAGGGGA